CTGCTAAAGTTAATGAAAAAATAAACAATTGTTTATTAATTGCACATTATCGATAACATAACGAATAATTGTCATCTGGTAATTTATTCAATCTACTGTAAAATGACTAATTTTCACTGGGTTAAAATTTCACTGATTTACCATTTCAGGCATAATCAGTGGGTTTTAAATTCACGGTTTCGTCATTTAGATAATGTGTTCTATGTTAAATTTTACATATTCACTGTGTTTTAATTTAGCACATTTTTCCAGTCAGCGAAATAAGCTAAATTAAAACCCAGTGAATAATTACCCCCTTTACAGTATCAATCTGTGCAACCTAAGATTGTGTTAACTCCAAATTCTGCTCAAATTCGCTTTATTTTTATTTTTATTTCAACTGATTTTCGAGAGGAACTGAATAATAATTCCAAAAATAAACACAAGCTTGCCAAAATGAACTATTTTTGCCACATTAAAAAAAATCTGACTGATGTTCTGGACAACCTTCAGGCAGAATGTACAACAACAAAAAAAGGTTTGGCAATATTTGATGTCAAACTATTTGATATGCATTTCTTATCTGTCCTGTATTTATGTCAATGTGGAGATGCGCAGCGTATACATGTGATAATAAAATGTGATTTTTGCTAAATTAACCATCTCTATGTCAATTCCATTCATTTATTAATCTTCCAATATTATTACATTAATCAAACAAGCCATGCCTGGCACAGTCCCTGCTAGTTATTAAATTTAAGATACATAGTTTTGTTTATAGTAATACAGTTGGAACATAAACATGTCAGAAATATGGATCCATAAGCTGATGCTTGATTATGATGATTTTTTAACATTAAAATGGTTGACATTGAGTCATCTTGTATCTGATTGTCAAACGAGTACTTGTCCATATTGAGAGATATTGCTCTGCTAAAGCAATGATAATCCAAGAAAGCTTAGAAAGAACTCCTATATATTGGAGGCATGAAGTCAGCACATGTGCTTCTATTAGGGCAAATACAGCATTTAAAAATATAACTGCAAACAGTGATCTGGAGGTGAGGGGGGGGGGCGTCCAAGTAGCAATGGTTGAACAATTATAAATATTTAATGAAATAATGACCATATATGATGACTTGATATTTTGGTTATATATCTTGTCAGACAACACAATTATAGAACGAGTTGCATGTCCCTCTCTGCAACAGTGATTAAGATATTACATTTATGCATATTATTGAGGTCACATGACTATATATATCATCTGAAACATTAGTCATGTCGACATTGTTCAGGTCAATCCTAGAGCATGTTTCATTGAAATCTGTGGAATGGTACTTAAGAAAAAAGCAAAAAAGCTTGAAATTGGCTAATTAATATGCAAGTTAGGTAATTAATATGCACAGA